CCCACCACTATCATCATCATCATCACCACCACCAAATCACCACCATCATCATCACACTATCAACCTTTCACTCCGTTCGTTACCACACCATCAGAGTTAATGACGTCATCATCATAATAATGACGTCATCATCATCAGTCAATGTAAAATATAAGGTTCTAGTAGAGAATGCCATGGAAATCATTCGTCATCAGCTCCCTTATTGACGTAGTTAAAAGTTCGCATAGATACAGAAATGTTTATAACTTGATGTCTATGCTGATGCTGGCGATTTATCAAATAGAATTTCTGTTACGATGATTTAATCAAATTACGAGGCTACTGAACGAACAACATAGTTTGTTTCTGGGGAGATTATTTCTGTTTCTGTAAACTCGCTCGCTCAACGTTAAATAACTCAATATTTTTCATGTACATGGAATAATTTGAGATGTCTAATTAGCAACTTACATGTGTTAATGTTAGTGTTCAAGAACTTTAAGCATGTTAAAGTGATAACTCTAACTTAACTAAGATTAACTTCAACTTAACTTATGTGCTCGTCTTTTATATGCCAAATGATCTTGCTACCTAGAGAACTACTTTTATAACTTTAATTACATGCCTACTTCCATTAACACATATCTATATACAACCTATATTTACTTATACCTCCTATCCTAAATTATCATCTACATAATAATATGTATAGAAAACATTTATGATTTCAGACTGAAACATTTCAACCAAAATGAGAGCACACACACACACACGTGCACACACACACACTTCAAAACTGCACACAGAACGGACATCTGAATCGCAAATGATGCAATCAAGACAACATTGTGTCAACCTTTTGCAACGACAAAAATTTTTGTTGCAGAAGGTAATTGTGCTTAGGAAAGAAATAAGACTGTCGTTCAAGAGTTCAGTATTTTTTTTCCTATGGTTATAGATTTAGAACGAATCATTCCGCGGTACAACAACATTTTGTTAAACTATGAAAGTACGCATCTGTTTGTATGTATAAGATTTAAAATTTGTAGTGCCAGTTTGGCATCAGATTTTTTTTTTTATTAGTCTTTATTATTGCAGCTCTGACATACGCAGAACCACTTACAATGTTTCGTATATAGATTATGTTCTTCATATCTTCAACCAATGATATGAAGCAGCCATCTTTCGCCACAAAGGCTGTTTATCCTTTTCACACGACGTACGCATGTGTTTATGTGCACGCGCAAGCACCGCATCATATACACTGAGTATATGATAGCCATTGAGATGTTTGACTCAGCGAGCATTTGAACCACTGAGCCATCTCGCCGGCCAACATGCGACAACTTACGTCGTTTACCCATTTACCAACCTCGAAAGGATGGACGGCTGGGTTGATCGGGAGTCGGCTACCCGGATGAACCTGTAGAAACTGCAGAATTCGAACCCGGGTCGTGGGAGTGGTAGACGGACACGCTAACCACTTGGCCACGAGACCCCTAAATGCAGGTTTAATGATGAATATTTATTTTAGTTATGTTGTTGTTGATGTTTCATTTTGTGGTTGTTGTGTCTAGTTGGTAGAAGGTGTTGTGTTGGTGGTGTTGTTTCGATAAAGTTTGCTTTGTTGTGTTTTTTTTGCAGGAGCAATGGGGATGCGCCAATTAGATTAGATACGTTAATTTGTTTTTCATGGTTTTGCCGACAGTAATGTCAGTGTATGCTATGTTATTGTTCGTGTATGTATGGCTGTGTTTTTTTGAAGGTAAGAAGCAATTTTTTGGATGTGTTGTTGGAGACGATGTTGTATATTCTCTTTGTTTGATATAGCTTGCAAATTGAAGTGCTGACTTTATTTTGTCAACTTGAGAGTGAATTACAAGCTGGTCCGGGTGGCAGGTGTGTTGTGTCTTTTGGTGTTGTTGAGTGTTGTTGAACGCTGATCCATATCAAATGCTGCTTTTGCAAAACTCATAAGCTCACATTCTCTCATAAACTCCTTCTAAGCACGTGATGTGATGCGGTCCTTGCACGAACTTACAAATGTGTAGCTGGTTCGGGAATGTTTCTGTGTTACAACAACTCAGCATTTGCCAAGCTGCATAATTTTAACACAAAAATTTTAAGTTACCTAAAGAGTTAGTATGCACCAAGTAACAATTCAATTTTTATATATACCCACATAACTATTTAAATATACCAACTCATGTTCAAAGTTAGCTCACGACATTATCACATTTGATTCAAATATATTTACCCACGTGAGTAATGTATTCATCTTCAAATTATAATCTTTTTTATATATTTAGCCAACGTTCTACGTGCAAATGTTTACTGTACATGTATGAATGTATGAATGTGCGATGTGCGTGTGCGTTGTGTGTGTGTGTATGTGTGTGTGTATGTGTGTGTTTGTGTGTGTGTGTGTGCGTGTGTATGTGTGTGTTTGTGTGTGTGTGTGTGTGTTTGTGTGTGTGTGTGTTTGTGTGTGTGTGTGTGTGTTTGTGTGTGTGTGTGTGTGTGTTTGTGTGTGTGTGTGTGTGGGTGTGTGAATAAGTTTTCATGAGCCTGCCCAGTACATGCATAAGTGTGGGTTGAAAAGCACTTGCGTTTTTGAAAACATTTGTGAATACATGTGAAGACGCAAGTCTGAAAATGTTTGGCGGTTACGACAAAGCAAACATTTTTGTCTTTTTAGGACAAATATATTTAAAGATTTCATTGTGCATGTAAGTGCATAATTATAATTTTAAACCAAATATATTTCTAGGTTGGGGGAGGTATTAGAGTTCTGGGACGAATTTTTATTCGTGGCTAATGCTTGCATACAATGAAGCTTCGGTTCAGTCACAAATGATTTCATTCTACAAAACTGCATGACATCCGCGTATCTTTCTAACAACAACATTAACACATATAAATGCACACGTTGGTTGACTAGAAAATGATTGAATCTAATCTTTATAAGATATTGAAAAAATTTATTGTGTAAGATATTGAAAAAATTTATTGGGAATAGAGTTGAGTAACGCTTTGCTGATATATTACAAAACAAAATTCAACTAACTTTTAATTAAGTTTTATTGTTTTCGAATAATGTGCATCCAAATGCAAGCGTTACATAATTTTTTCAAGCTGTGTTGTTTGTGTTTCAATCACAGGTGAATGACTTCTGGTAGATAGCTTGACGATCATTGACGCTAATATCTAGCGTCGAGACATCAATCTAGAGTCGAGACATCAATCTAGAGTCGAGACAATTATGACTTGATGTTCAATGGTGATCGTTAATTGTTGCTAATGATCTCAAAGTCTATGACAGTTTATTGTTCTAAATATTAAAAGTTGTAAGAGTAATTATAGATAATAGGCATAATTATTTTCATGACCTGAAACAATATAATAAAAACACTGCAAATTTGCTGCAACCAATATCAATTGTAAAGAACATCATGAATTAAACTAGTCTAGCCAGCAGAACGAAACAACAGTCGTCGTGCAGCTCAAAAAATAAGAACCTGCAAGTCTAAAGAACATAAGACGAGAACAACATAGGCGATCGACATTTAGACATTTATTCTCTTAACCGAATTGTTATGCAACCGTAACTTTCAGTTCTCGATTAATATCAGTCTTGCTGAATTCTTTGCGTGTCCAAACACATATACAAAACAAACACATATAAAAGCATACACACATACACGTAAATAAACACACACACACACACACACACACACACACACACATGAAGATACACAAGCATGCATGCGTTTTTACGCACTCACGATAGCCTTGAATGTTTGCAACGATTAATCGCATTCAGAAATTCCTATAATTAATATTTATTTCACATCTCGTAAATGAAAGTTATCATTATTTATTGTTTTCGTGTAGGTTGCAAGAGTCAACCCGCGAGTCGCATGAAGAAGCGTTGAGAAAGGAAAGATCAACCACCTCCATTGAAAGGTTAGAAAGTGGAACTAACGTAAAAAAAGAAAATAATTCTCTTGAATATTGCTGACCGGATATTGTTAAAAATTAATTGAAAATAAAACCGAAGAATAAACTGACGAGAAAACAGCGAAAGACTGATTGAAGAGATTCGAACAGGCGAACCAATAAAAACAGGAAAAAAAACTAACTTGTCAACTTTTTAAACAAATCTTCAATGTTGAATATAATGAAAAAAAATGAAATTCTAATATATATATATATATATATATATATATATATATATATATACTATATACTATATAATTAGCCAGCTTTGACAACTGTTTGTTTGTTTGTTTGTCTGTTTGCAAGCTTGTTCGTCTATTAGCTTGTACGTTTGTGTGTTTGTAAAAAACTGAAAATTTTAATGAGAACAAATGACCTTTAGATTATTTTCGAGATATTTTTTCCACATTCTTATATTTTGAACTTAAAATTTTTGATCTCTTAAAATAAATTATACTTTAGGCAATATGTGAATATTTCCCACAAAAACTGGGACGTTGCTCGCGTGTCCATTCACAACTCTAATTAGGAAATCCTATACAGATGACCATCGAGTGTGCAAATAGGCATTATGTAAATAATAACATATTCTGATTAAAGAAGGCATTGTTACAATTTCTCTGAAAGAGGAATTTATGAAAATATCTAGATAGATCCTACTTGAGTTTATTGAACCAGTTGGTCCAAAACATGTAGACCAAAAAACGAAACCATTCCAATCCCACCAAAAAATCCCAGTATTAAACATAAGTAAATCATACAAATAACGAGTTTTATTTCGAAAACAATTTCCATGAAATGGGCTTGGATTTCGAATTATGCCTTGTGACAGATGAGCCTGTCTCTTTATTATAAATCATCAACCTTGTAGTCTTAAAACGTTTTTGAATAATATGTTAACAAGATTATTATATATTTACATACACATAAGAATGAAAAACAAAAAAAGCAAGTGTGGGAGAGAGAGGAAAAATACTAAGAAAAAAAATAGAGGTCTGACACTGAACCAACCCAAGAAAAAATATTACAGTGTACCATTTAAGTTTCATTTGATTTTTTTTCTTCGTTTGTTAGGATATCAGTTTAAAAGTTCAATAAGGTCGGCGCTTTATAAGCAAGGAAGTTTTATTGTTTAAAAGAGTGATTCATAAGAGCAGTGCTGTAAAAAATTTGATGGTGTATGTAGAAAAAACGAACATACGAACGAATAAATGAATGAATGAACGAATAAATGAATGAATAAATGATTGGCTAAATGGATAAATGTATGAATGAACAAATGAATTAAAAAAGAACAAATAATTGCTATTATTCCACTATTTTTAAAAACACGCACAACTTCATTCATCTCTGAATAGAAAAATCTGAGAATCATGTTGAGATAAAAATGAAACACTTTGTTGGGTTTATTGTTGTTTGACTGCCTAGTGGTGAGTTTTTGTTTGTACATTTCATAGAAATGTACCACAATTTTTGTTAATTTTTCCTAAATTAACTTATACGAAAATTGTATATCAAAATACTAAAACTTGTATAATTGTTATATATTCATTTATTTACATTAATTTACAAACAAAAAAGTAAGCAGAAACCAAAGTCACATGAATGCAAAGAAGTTTCATCCATCTTTTAAGCATCAGCCCACGCACAGTCGAGCCAGCCATTGAAAGATTGGCAGGTTTGTTACACGGACTTTCGCATTTAATGACGACCAGCTACTGACCGACTGAAGTACTGATTGACTGACTGACTGCACATTATCAACGTATCTAGTGATGGCTTATTCATCAAATGCTCCAAAAAACGTCACAACGATAGTGAATGAACATCACGATGAGTTCCGATGTTAATGTCCAGTTCTGATCTCCATGGTGAAGAAATACAATCATGATTGCATCAAAAACACCTGTCAAGATTGTTCAAGTGTCATCGTATCATCATATGTCATATCATCCTATATATTATTTGCATTGTTATATTATCATTACATCATAAATTTAATTTCACTATTACACCATAACTTCGCATGACCACTTATTTACCTGCGGTTCAATTTTCTCAACAGATTCTTCTACCTTATAAATTTTTTAACCATCTTTTGATTCTTATCCATTTTAACTCCAGCAACATTTTCTTGATAATTCCTTTTAACACCTAACCATTTATGCCATCTAAACTTCTTTTTACTTCTGCTAAGAATTCCCTAACTTCCACACGAAGATTGATATATATTCTTTTGAGAACGTTGGCAAGAAGTTATAAGATCAAGTTACGGTATTACGTATTTGATAGTTCACATTAAATCATCTCGTCAGATTGCATCATTTCACCAAAACGCAACCTCCAAACGAACACCAACACATGATTGCATCATAACATAACACCAAAACAAACAAAACTCTCTATGACGTATTTAATGTACCGTGCATGTGTTTATAAATAAAACCGCATGTAAATATTGCCTCCAATAAACACTGCAAGGCCGAGAAGAAAATTTTTTTTCATACAGACGGACGCATTACCTAACAACATCTAATCACGTTTATCATGGCTTGGCTCGACGTTTCAGTAAAACTATTTATTGGCTGTAGAGTTGCATAACGCACACATAACTTTTTTTAGAGAGAGAAATCTTTCTTAAATTGTTTAGAAAACATCGGGATAATTAAATTGTGTTGGTGCCCGAACAAAAAAATTAAGACCCCATCAAATGTGGTTGGTAAATATTATACTATGTAGTTGTAAGGAAGATTGCGCGCATGTTGTGTCAGTTGCTTACATGTTGTGTTATATGTTGGTTGTACGTTATGTTAGTCAATACTTTCAGCTTCTGCAAATGTTGTAAGATGGCTGCGTAAGCATCTAAAGGAATGTTAAAAATTTTGCTCAGAGCTGCAGTTTACATAGATTATAAACAAATTATTTATTCAAATATTGAATTAACAACAGCTAAAATTTTCAAAATTTCACACTACGTTCGCTTTAAATTATTTATTGCGTCAAAATAAAAAGCTTACTTCCATTTTATTTGTTTCATTAACATAACAAAACAACCTAGAAGCTTCAACTAATTTATTTCTTTCAAAATTTTCATATCAATTTTTTTTCTTTGTTTTTAAAAACTTTTCAGTTGACTATCGCATATAAAAATCGTCTGGTTACTACATTTTCTTGATTTCATATCGAAGGTGTGACTTCCTTAGCGACGGAGAGTTTTTTTGTTTTTTTTCTTAATTTTTTTTCCTTTTCGTAGGGTAGTAAAATATTTACGAAGTGTGCGTGTGTGTGCGTGTGTGCGCGCATGTGTGCGTGTGTGCCTGTGTTTGTTCGAAAAACTTTTAACAGCGTCTAAAACTAGAAACTAAATTACTTCTTATAAATATTTCTTTCACATCATTACTACAACTTTAAAAACAATTATTTCTATCAAAATTTTTTTTTCAAATTAAATTTAGAATTTATTGTTTTTTTATTATAATAAACATCTTTAGATTATTTTTTTGTTTTTTGACTAAATGGTAGATAAGTTTATATAAATGCCCGGAAAGTTTGAGTTGACCGTACATAAAAAAAAAGAGGAAACCGGCAAAGAGCAATGACCAGCAATGACCAGCAATGACCAGCAATGACCAGTAATGACCAGCAATGACCAGCAATGACCAGCAATGACCAGCAATGACCAGCAATGACCAGCAATGACCAGCAATGACCAGCAATGACCAGCAATGACCAGCAATGACCAGCAATGACCAGCAATGACCAGCGATGACCAGCGATGACCAGCGATGACCAGCAATGGATGTGTTGTCGTTTGCAACCAACTTCTGATCGGTGAGATGGCCGGCATTTGTAATTGCTTTGAAACACAATGATTAGTAGATGCAGATTAACTACAAGGATGTTTTACTGTATAAATATAAATATACATGTGTCTATAGGTAACACTTTAGTATTTTGTCATTGGTTTTTGTTTTATATCGTTGCACACATTTCCATCTATTTGTAAAAAAGATGAGCTCGAGTACCTGAGCTTGTTAAGTGCATTATTCTTGTGAAATTCTCCTATCCAGTGGCTCTGCAGCATGTGTTTTTGATTTATGTTTTAACAGTCAGGTGAAAAAATCCAGTTTTCATTTTGTTTTTTAAATTAGTTATGAATTTAAATTTTTTTTAGTAGGACAGATTTTTTGTATAAAAAAAGCCAGATCTTAAGTTGAGTTTGTGCCGCGCTCATTCCGCAGTACATCTTTGCGACCGAAACTGCCACTTGACTTTCTAATGTGATGTAATGGAGAGACAGAATTTAATTGACGGATGAGCAAATTTGTTTGAATGCAAGATGGAATGTTAATGCGTTCCATGTAACAACCATTTAACTGAAACATTTGTTATTTGTTTTTCATTTGAAGAGGAGCCATTCATTTATCATGAACGTGATTCCCTATCAACATCGCTCGCCTCAGCTGTTCAACTTGTTTACTTTTTCAACTTCACAACGTTTCTTTAAAAAAAGGCTCTTCCAAAGAATTATTACCAAATTTTATAAAGTATATTTTTAAGAAATATAGAAATTAGCCATCTCAAAAACATATCCACCTTTAACCATTTAAGTTTTCCTATCATTTGTGTTTGTTGATATTTTTTGTTAAATGTGAGAAATGCATGCGTTGCTTATACTGTAGTAATTTGATATAGTTTGAAACGTGGCATGAATAACAGAATGGCGTGAGTGAATGAGGTGGCAAGTTGAAAAATTGTAGATGCACTCGCCTATTCAGACAAAGAAATTGTAGTCATTCTTTCAAAAGATGCCGGATGAAATAAATAAAGGATTGCCGAATGAACGTCAACCACTATTTGCAACTTTCCTAATATACATATCTTCGTTTTTATCTGTGTAAGTGAAACATTCGTCATTAGCATCGTCATCTTTGAACGTTTGAATGATTGTGTATCGAGGTTTGTCTGAAGTTTACTGGAATGGAAATGATAAAAAAATATTAAAAATTGAAGTAAACACGAAGCAACTGCTATGCAGAACTGAATTTTGTGAAATCAATAAACAGGCAAAAAAGGGTGTTTTAATAGCATGTAACATCTGTGCCAATCCAAAGTGCCTGCAACTTCAAATATGGAAAAAACAATGACAACCTTGCTCTTGAAAACCATAAAATATTTAGAACATTTAAAAAACGAAAGATTTTCAATGTTTACAATTTTAAAAAATCAATCACGTTTGAAGTAATATTAAATCTTCAATTCAACCTCTAAATAAACGCCGTCAAACAGAACTAAACAAAAAAGCAATATAACGACCATTGATCACGAAAGTACAATAAATTATGTTGGTGTCAATTGACGGTGATGAATGTTTCACCAACAAACCTCACCCTGACAACGCCGCATTAACACATTATTACATTAACACATTATAACAAGAACATTATCACATTAACGCATTACCACATTAACACATTATAACATTAACACGTTATAGCATTAATACATTATCACAGTATAACATTAACACATTACATCAAAACGTGCGGCAGAGATTTTGTTTGATAAGTAAAAAAAAATTGTTTTGACCGACATTTTACTGGCGCAAACATTTTCAAAGAGACATCTATATTTTACCGAACCATTTTCTTAAAAGAAGTTTGCACTGTTTCTTCTGTACGTGAATCTATAGTACCATCACTATTATATTTGTAAATAAATAAATACTCCAGCATGTACTTGTACATTCTAAACCAAATTGTGTGGTACTAAAATTGTCGTTATTATATTATCACTCTTTTCTTAAAAAACATTTGAAAAAAATTTTGCAAAAAAAAATGTTAAACCATTAAAACTCAAACACACAAAAAAATTGGTAGTTTGTAAAACCTTTGTTTACACAATCTGAATGTATAAACAGTGCACATTTATAGTTTACTCTCTTTAGTATTATTCTACCAAAATTTGAATTTCGTTTGGTTAGCAGATATTCATTTATGTTCAATTTTCATTATAAAGTATGGATAGATTGTTAAAAGGAACATTTCTTTTTGTAAAAATTGAAAAAGAATTTTAAATTTAATAAAATTTTCTGAATCGCGTTGCTTGTTTCTTAGATGTCTGAATGTGTGACACACAAAAATAGAAGTAAAATATTGTGCTATATAGTATTTATAGACCGCTGTTAGTTCAGCTGCGTGTGTTTTATTCAATGCTCTTCCTTGTGCTTTATTTCGCCTACCTTTTAACGTAAAATAAAACTAAAATAATGAAAAAAAGTTAGATGGAAAGTGTAAAATCTGTCATACCCATTTTCAGAGAAACATTAAAGTCAGATTTCAGACAATGATTTTCAACGTTCTCAAATGTTTTATTTCATTGGGTTTTCGTGGTATTTCGACTGATTAATTGATGAGTTAAATAATCTTTGAATCTTACTTTCAAAACATCAAATAAAACTCACTCAATTACACAAATTTCATCTATGATATTCTAAGAAGGAGACATATTTATGTAAAACTTTAGTTTTTTATAAAATGCATTTTGGAACTATTATTTAAGCCAATTAAAATTTGAATAAAAGAAGCCATTTCAAGAGAACTATTGAAACGAAATAATTCATATTAGAAAATAAATAATATATTTTATCCACGAAAATATATGGAAATGTTATATACGGAATTGCTCATGATGAAATACACAGGTGGCAACTTCTCCAGCGTTCATCGATCGGTCTTGAAGGTTTATTTAAAAAATTACAAAAACGTTTTTCATTTAAAATTTTTGTGAAATTTGAAAATTAAAAACACAACTTTAATAACGCAAGTTTGAAGTACTAAATTCATTTTGTTTTTATTTGGTTAAAAAAGCATTTCGTATTTTTAAAAAATGTTTTTCACACTTTCTGATTCATAACGAGGGAACGTAATCAATAAAATATGAATCAATTCATTCTATTAACTTCTAAATTAGCAAATTGAAAATTAACCAAATAAAACCATGAAACTATCGTTTAAAAACAGATATCCCTTGTTATAAATCATTCGACAATAACATTCCATTAGTGAGAGAGCAAAAATATTGTTTGATCTGATTGATGCTATCGTAGAAAGCTAATGGATGTCGTTGCTGTTGAATGGAGTGGACCTGCATTTCTGGCTCCCTATATTTTATTTCGTCATATCAAGGCTGACTGCACTAACACGTGTTTGTACACACTTCACATCTATCACACACACACACGTACGCACACGTACGCACACACATACACACATACGAATTGCCCACTGCCTCTCTTTCTGCATCTGCATGTTCCGGTGTGTTTCTTGAGTGTTTATATGTTGTTCATCTGTCTTTGAAACATTTAATAAATTTTTCACAAAGCTTGCTAGGCGATCCATCAAAATAAAGAATGATCGATTATTATTATATGGAGTTCATTATCGTTAATAATTATAATTATTAACTATAATTAATATCATATAATATACATACATATTAATATATATATATATATATATATATATATTATTAACTATAATTAATTTGCAATTAGCCGGATGCTTTACTGAATGTTTGCATTCATCGTGATGCTCTCTTTTTACATTCAAATCTGGAATGGTTTAACTTGTTGTATGTTGTTAGAAAAATTATGAGAACAATTTAAGGAAAGGCATAACCAAACATCTTCTCCAAATGTATCCAAGCTGTGATTGGTTTCTAAAGAGATGTCATAAATGGTTGCATGTGTTGTGTGAGCACTGCAGACAGACGGGAGGCACATACTTTAACATGATGTCTGAATTGTCTCCACAATGTTTCATGTTTGTCCTGCTAACACTTATCCTTGCATTCATATATACGTGGATGCGTGATGTTTCTGTATGTGTTCGTCCTCTGTGTGTGTGTTTATGTGCGTGTTGGTGTGCGTGTGTGTGTTTAACATTCAAAAACTATTCTTTACATAAGTTTTATTAACTTTTATTTGACAGCAAGCATATTTGATAAAAAAAACTCATCACGTTAATGGTTATTTATTTGCGAATCAATGTGGATGGTTATTACATCAATTAGCATTCACTATCTGCTGGCCATAGTATCTTAACATGTGTGTGTGTGTTTGTTTGTGTGTGTATGTGTTGTGTTTGTGTGTGTGTGTGTTTGTGTGTCTGTAACATAATAACATAATAATAAGCTCAAACCAGATGTAATATGTGTCCTTTTTTAAAATTAAACATTATGTCTTTATATTCATTATTAATATTATTAAAAAACATTCATATCTATTGAATTTGTAAAAAAATTTTTATAATAATTTAAAAAAATTTTCGTCTTAAAAAACTATAAATAATTCTAAAAATTATTTGCAAGTTTCTTAAAAGAATAGGTTAATTATTTACAGAAAGGGAAAGAGCTTAATCATCTGGCTTGCACATGAGGCTTATAGATAGATTTATTTACACGTGTAACACGATTGATTTTTTCTGGCGCCATAACTTCATTACCATTGTTATTCTGAGGTTATTAACTATGGCTAGATGTTTCAATGTATTTCTTTGTTTTTATTTCACTAATTATAACGATACTTCACTACATATACATAGAACCTTTTTAAAATTTTATTTCACATTTAGAATTTTAACGTTGATTTTAAATTACTTTTTAAAAAAAATCCTTGAAAATTAAATTTATCTAAGAAGTTCTGAAAATTTTGAATAACTTCAAAATCGTTTATGTGAATAAATCAAGGAATTATTATCCATTTTTTATGAAAGAGTATTAAATTGATTCACAAAATATATTTTCAAAATTTAAAATACTGAATTTACATATAGGCGATATTTAAATAAATAATAAATTGCGATAGAAATTTATACTAAAATATGGAAACCCAAGTTAAATTGAATTGGTGAAAATTTATAGATAGATAAAATTCTGATATCTAGGAAAAACTGCTTTAAAAAAATTAATAAAAGTGTTAAGGTCCATCTTGAAAAAATTGAAAGTGAAAAAATGAATATATAAACTGTTTTCGTATTAACGTTCAGCATTGATTTTTTAATCTATCAGTATAACTTTTTATTA